AGGGAGGGTGACATGTTCGATGCCGATATAACGTAGGGATGAAATCGAGTGGTTCGCTTCCAAAATGTGGGCTGCGACTGGGTATGTTGAGTTTTTGCACCTAATGGTGCTACGATGCTCCGAGATTCGTACTTTTAATTCGCTCTTTGTTTTACCCACATAATATTTACCACAAGGACAAGTTATAAGATAAATAACTGCCTTAGTGGAGCACGTAATAACACCTTTGATTGGGATCTGTTTCCCTGTTTGGGGGTGTTTAAAGGATTTGTAAGTGCCATTGCATTGAGCGCAGCCATTACACTTGTAGTTTCCATCCGGTAGAGGCGCAAATAGATGTTGTGCAGGGATATTTAGGGGTGGTACATCAACGTTTACCAATTGATCTCTGAGATTTCTGCCCCACGAGAATACGACCAAGGGAGGGTCTGAAACACATTACCGATACTATCATCGGATCTTAGAATGTGCCAATGTTTGTGAACGATTCCCTTAATTTGTTCAGAACACTTTGAATAGCGTGTAGTCAGAACGCAAGAATGCTTCTTTTTGCGAGACTGTCCTTAAAAGAGATCAGGTCTCGATTTGTTTTGAATTTTCTCAATGGCAGTATTAATCTGACAATTTTTGTACCCCCTCTCCTTGAATTTTCTTTGCGTCTCAGACATATTTCTGTCAAAATCTGATCGTTTTTTTCAAATTATTTTGATTAGACAGAATTGGCTGTAGGGCAAACCGTTTTTCAAGGGAAGCGGGTGACAACTATCAGCCCTCAACAAACTGTTACGATCAGTAGGTTTCCTGTAAAGATCAGTGTATAGAACATGATCCTCACACAAAATCAGAAGATCAAGGAAACTGATTTGAGTCAGATTGTATAGTAAATCTCAGGTGCTCAGAACAAGAGTCAAGAAAGCATGGAATGCCTGGAGCTGTTTTGAATCACCCCTCCATAGAACAAAAATATCATCAATGTACCATTTCCAAATAATAATGTTAGGCAAGAAAACATTTTTGAGAGGATTGAAAATTGACTGTTTCTCCATGTAACCCACATACAAATGAGCATAGTTAGGAGCCATAGGGGATCCCATAGCAGTACCCTTCGTCTGAATAAAGAAATAATTTAGAAACATGAAGTAGTTGTGTGTGAGTACTATTTCAGCCAATGTTATAATGCATGCACTGGAAGGTAGTTCATTTGGGTCACGTTGCAGAATAAAATGACCTCAACAACTTCTTGTTAAAACTTGCCTGGATCTTTAATTTAAAGACTCTTGCTCCCTTCGGTCTCAACCTAGACTTTGATTTGAAGCCATTCTTGTGATTATTGTGATTTTGCTATTCATTGTAAATGTTTGTGGGCCTATGTAGCCAAGTTGTATCTATGATCGTATGCTATCCATGTTTTTTGTATGTTCTGCTTATCTGTGAATTAACTTCTCCAAACTGTTGCCACAAAGTTGGAAGCACAGAATTGTCTACAATGTCGTTGTATGCTGTAGCATTAAGATTTCCCTTCACTGGAACTAAGGGGCCTAGCCCGAACCATGAAAAACAGCCCCAGACCATTATTCCTCCTCCACCAAACTTTACAGTTGGCACTCACTATGCATTCGGGCAGGAAGTGTTCTCCTGGCATCTGCCAAACCTAGATTAGTCCATCGGATGCCAGATGGTGAAGCGTGATTCATCACTCCGGAGAAAGCGTTTCCACTGCTCCAGTGTCCAATGGCGGCCAGCTTTCCACCACTACAGCTGACACTTGGCATTGCGCTTGGTTATCTTAGGCTTGTGTGCGGCTGCTTGGCCATGAAACCCATTTCATGAAGCTCCCAACGAACAGTTCTTGTGCTGATGTTGCTTCCAGAGGCAGTTTGGAACTTGGTAGTGAGTGTTGCAACTCGCCTGTCCCGTTCTATGAGCTTGTGTTGCCTACCACTTCGTGGCTGAGCCATTGTTGCTCCTAGATGTTTCCACTTCACAATAACAGCACTTACAGTTGATCGGGGCAGCTCTAGCAGGGCAGAAATTTGACGAACTGATTTGTTGGAAAGGTGGCATCCTATGACGGTGCCACGTTGAATGTCTCTGAGCTCTTCAGTAAGGCGATTCTACTGCCAATGTATGTTTTTGGAGATTGCATGGCTGTGTGCTCGATTTTATACACCTGTCAGCTAAGGGTGTGGCTGAAATAGCCGAATCCACTAATTTGAAGGGGTGTCCACATACTTTTGTATATATAGTGTACTTCATTTACAAAAATAAAATATGACTCTACAGTGCTCCCTTGTGGAAAAATGCAATTATTGACAGCAAGAAATAAACAGACACGGTAATCCAAAGAACTGTACATTTTCCCAACTACACAATACAAATATCTGAAAACAAACACATACTGTACAGTTTTAACATATTGACAAATAAATATGTTAATACAATTACATTTCTCTAAAATGTAATGATAGCACACAAAGTATGTAACAACACATCTTCTTTACAATTGTTTAAATATAAAATGTATATATTTCTATTTAAAGTATGTAATATTTGATTTGATTCATTTACTCATTTTATTATATAACTTCATTTGTTTAAGCCAAAAAACCTACTACCTACACTACAGTTACATATATGATACAAAAATATTTGATTGATCATAATGAAATCATTAAGATGTGTTGTCTAGGTATGAAAAAGTATTTGCCCCTTTCAAATCTTCTCTACTTTTACATATTTTTGATACTGAATGTTATCAGATCTTCAACCAACACCTAATAGTAGATAAAGGGAACCTAAGTGAACAAATAACAAAACAATTACATACTTATTTCATTTATTTCATAAACAACGTTATGCAACACCCAAAAAGTAATTGTGAAAAAGTAACGGCCCCCTTACACTCAATAACTCTTTGTGCCACCTTGAGCTGCACGACTTCATAAGTTGTTTTCCGAAACGCAGGCGACCAAATTACCACCTCATCGAGCGGGGGATTGCGCAATAAACCTCCAGGTAGACGCTGTGCCTCCCAGGAGTCATGTATTTCCCCTGTCGCAGGCTGAAACGGAGGCGATGGAGACATACTGTACGTCTCCGAGTCCCTGCACCAGGGGTTCATATTTCCCTCTTCTTCACCCGCCTCCTCAAGTTATTTTTTTGTGAAGAAGAAAGACGGAGGTCTGCGCCCTTGCATTGATTACCGAGCACTTAACAAGGGGACAATTTGTTATAGTTATCCTCTACCCCTCATTCCATCTGTAATCGAGTCAATGCATGGGGCGCGCTTCTTCACAAAATTTGATCTCCGGAGTGCGTACAACTGGTGCGTGTCCGAGAAGGGGACAAGTGTAAGACAGCATTCAGCACAACCACGGGGCATTACGATTACCTGGTGATGCCGCACAGTTTGATGAATGCTCCATCAGTCTTACAGTCCTTTGTGAACGAGGTGTTTCGGGACATGCTTGGTCGCGGTGTGGTGGTCTACATCGATGACATTCTGGTGTATTCCGCTACGCGCGCGGAGCATGTGTCCCTGGTACGCAAAGTGCTGGGCCGACTGTTGGAACATGACATTTATGCCAAGGCAGAAAAGTGTCTGTTTTTCCAACAGTCCGTCTGCTTTCTCGGATACCACCTCAGGTGTAGAGATGGAGGGAGACCGCATTTCAGCCGTGCGTAATTTGCATACTCCAACCAGGCCATGTGGGCCTTGTTCTTCAGCCGGTTGGATTTCACGCTGTCCTATATACCAGGCACTAAGAATGTGAAGGCAGGCGCACTGTCACGGCTGTACGACACAGAGGAGAGGCCCATAGACAACATTTACATTTACATTTTAGTCATTTAGCAGACGCTCTTTTCCAGAGCCACTTACAGTTAGTGCATACATTATTATTTGTATTTTTTCATACCCCCTGTGGGAATCGAACCCACAACCCTGCCGTTGCAAACGCCATGCTCTATCAACTGACAACATCCCCATACTCCAGGCCTCCTGCATTGTGGCGCCGGTAGTGTGGGCGATGGACGCGGATATAGAGCAGGCGTTACGCACAGAGCCATCTCCACCTCAGTGTCCAGCTGGGCTGCGGTACGTGCCGTCTCTTGTCCGTGACCGTCTTATCTATTGGGCACACACGTCCCCCTCCTCTGGTCACTTAGGTATCGGCCACACAGTGCGCTGCCTGACCGGGAAGTACTGGTGGCCTACCTTGGCTAAGGACGTGAGGGTGTATGTCTCCTCCTGCTCGGTGTGCGCCCAGAGTAAGGCACCTAGGCACCTCCCAGCGGGTAAGTTACATCCCTTACCAGTTCCACAAAGGCCATGGTCCCACTTGTGTATTGACTTTCTCACTGATCTTCCCCTCTCTCAGGGTACCACCATCCTGGTCGTTGTGGACCACCTGCTGCCTCTGCCCGGTCTCCCCACGGCCCTGCAGACTGCAGAGGCCCTGTTTACTCACATCTTCTGGCACTACGGGGTGCCAGAGGACATAGTGTCTGACCGGGGTCCCCAGTTTACATCCAGGGTCTGGAAGGCATTCATGGAACGGGTGAATCAGGGTTTCCCCTTAATCTATGGCTGCATGTGAAATGGCACCCTATTCCCTATATAGTGCACTACTTTTGACCAGGAGCCATAGGGCTCTGGTCAAAAGTAGTACACTATATAGGGAATAAGGTGCGATTTCTTACTACGCTGGATACAAGCACAGTCCACTAGAGTCTAGTGACTAGAGCACACAGCCAGCAAGCCCATGTCTGGCAAAAATACCAGCAACCCACCCAAAGACAGCACAGTTCGAAATGCCCTGACACACAAGGCTGTGTATATCATTGTACTATGAAAGATACTGTATATTGTAGATACTATAAGGGTTGCTTCAGCGATATAGGGACTCAACTTTCTGTAGCATTCATCCTCAGTCTATGGAACCCCCCAGCCAAGCCAATCAGTCAACACAACAGATACCTCAATCTATAGAACAACATTAAAAGAGAGCCCTCTCTAGAGACAGTTCTATAGAGTTGTGTGTGTCGTCACAGATTGAGACAGAGCTGTGTGTGAGTGTGTGTCGGTGTGTGTGAGTGTGTGTGTCACTGATGCAGGGCAGCTCCTTGGGGGAGGACTTCTCCAGCACAGAGATCTGTGTGACGGTGGAGCTCTCTGTGAAGAGGGTGCGTCTTCTCCTACTGTAGCTCAGATAGCCCTGGGTCTGCCACTTCCACAGACGCTTCTTCAGCTCCCCCTGCACCTAGACAGACACACACACAAACACAGAGAGAGAGAGCAATATATAGAGAGAAAAATAGTTGTGAGAGAGAGAGAGAGAGAGAGAGAGGCAGAGAAAGCACTCTGTCCTTAAAAGCACATTGAGAGGTCCATACACGGCATACAGTACTTAAGATAATCTGGACATCAGAGACTTGAGATAGCAGTAAATTATAAGGATATTCAATGTTATTCAATCAAAATTCTAATTCTGTTGGTAACCCCCCTGCTTACTTCTCCATTCAGGAAACAGTAGAGCAGAGCCACAACAAAGCCCTAAGAAGAAGGAATAGAAAGTGAGTTGTACATCAGGCCATTTTAACTAGCTACGTTATTACAAAATCATATATTATGTAAAAATTACTCTAACACTTATTCAGACAGCCTCACCCCCAACAGACACACATTGCATGCCACATGCTGTACGTTGCATAAACACACACACACGTGAGCACGCACGCGATGTGGGCACGCACGCACGCACGCACGCACGCACGCACGCACACAGACACAGAAACGCACACACACCTACCTGGAAGGATCCCAGACCCAGCTCTATGAAGATGCGTGCCTCCTCTCCTGTGTTCTCTGGTAGGAAGGCAAACACCATGTAGTGCATCCCAAACAGAGGGATCAGGAACAGGGTGGACTTAGCCAGCCTCCTGCACACAGAGACAGAGAGAGAGAGACACAGAGAGAGAGAGAGAGAGAGAGAGAGAGAGACAGAGAGAGTATAATCACAATAATGTATTTGTGTCTGTGTGTGTCTTACGTGTGAACTCGAGTGTTCTGTGCACCAGAACAGCAATTAACACACTAGCCCAATACCTATGCATTTATTCGGGGAGCCAATACAACTGTTCTAAGTGTGGTCACCGAACCACCATCGTTATATGTGTGTGTGTGTGTGTGTGTGTGTGTGTGTGTGTGGGGGGGGATGACTCACATGAAGTGGCCAGTATCGTGGCCCCCAACACAGGGAGACTTTAGCTTCTGGACCAGAATACGGATCACATTAATGAAGATGATGAAGTTGACCTTAAGCAGTGGAGGAAGAGGATGAGTTAGTGCTGAATACTTTACAACACAGGGTGGGTTAGGGTTAGAGTTGAGGCTAGGGGTAGGTTTAGGGTGGAGACTAGGGTCAGGGTTAGATTTGAGGATAGGGTTAGGGTTAGGTAAGTGTTAGGCTACTCACCAGCAGTGATGCAGTTATAGGCCCTTTGATAATCCACCAGATGAAGGTCACATCGGTGTCGTCCCAGCAACTACATCAGGACAGAACAACATGATATCATACAGTACCGTATTAATACCAACCTCCAACAGTATTACATTATGATTCATGTATGAATATATAGGCAACATGACAATATAAATTCAGAGCAAGTTCAAAGCAAATGCTAGTTTCCATCCTTACCCTCTGTTATCATAGAAGTTTCGTGTCAGAACCCACACCAACAATATTGTGGTTGGGAGACCTAACAGACACAGAGAATGGACAAACATCAGCCAGATGTTGTAACAATGTTACGCTCGTCGTAAGCAACGGACCAAGGCGCAGCGTGATATGCGTACATCTTTTAATAAGTACTTTAAACACGAACAACAAAACGATACGTGAAGTCCTAAGGTTAACAAACACAAACCTCTCCGGAACAAGATCCCACAAAACACAAGTGCACAACAGGCTGCCTAAGTATGGTTCCCAATCAGAGACAACAAGCAACAGCTGATTCACGTTGCCTCTGATTGAGAACCACCCCGGCCAACATAGAAACACATAACCTAGAACAGAACATAGAAAACGAAACATAGACACTACACAAAGAAACTAACACCCTGGCTCAACATACAAGAGTCCCCAGAGCCAGGGCGTGACAGTACCCCCCCCCCCCCCCCAAAAGCTGCGACCGCGCCAACATAAACCCAACAGGGGAGGGGCCGGGTGGGCATTCCACCTCGGAGGCGGATCCGGCTCCGGGCGTGACCACCACCCTCTAACAACCCCCTCGTAGCGCCCCTGGTCTGGTCTGGCCCCGCTGGCTGGAGCTGGACTGGACATCGGTGGAGCGGATTGCTTAGGCTCCGGTGTGGAGCAGCTGACCGGTACCTGACCAGGCACGGGCTGTGCCGGACTGACGACGCGCACCACTGGCTTGGTGCGGGGAGCAGGAACGGGCCGGACCGGGCTGACGATGCGCACCACAGGCTTGGTGCGGGGAGCAGGAATGGGCCGGACAGGGCTGACGACGCGCACCACTGGCTTGGTGCGGGGAGCAGGAACAGGCCGGGCCGGGCTGGCAACGCGCACCATTGGCTTGGTGCGAGGGGCAGGAACAGGCGGGGCCGGGCTGACGACGCGCACCACAGGCTTGGTGCGGGGAGCAGGAACAGGCCGGGCCGGGCTGGCGACGCGCACCATTGGCTTGGTGCGAGGGGCAGGAACAGGCGGGGCCGGGCTGGCGACGCGCACCATTGGCTTGGTGCGAGGGGCAGGAACAGGCCGGGCCGGGCTGGTGACACGCACCATTGGCTTGGTGCGAGGGGCAGGAACAGGCCGGGACGGGCTGGCGACGCGCACCATTGGCTTGGTGCGAGGGGCAGGAACAGGCCGGGCCGGGCTGGCGACGCGCATCACAGGCTTGGTGCGAGGGGCAGGAACAGGCCGGACCGGGCTGGCGACGCGCACCATAGGCTTGGTGCGAGGGACAGGAACAGGCCGGACCGTACTGGGAACACACACCACTGGCCTTGTGCGGGGATCAGGAACGGGCCGGACCGGACTGGTAACACACCTCAGTACCTCTCACCGTGCCTCTACACTCTCCTTCCCTCTAACGACCAATGGCCCCCGTAACCTGGTGGCCTTCTCTCCTCGTCCACAAACTCGCCCTGTATCTGCCTCCAGCAGCCCCGTCGTCCATGCCGTGTGCCCCTCCCAAAACATGTATTGGGGGTGCCTCTCGTCTGTCTGACGACGACACTGTTGGCGCCGTACCTCCTCTCTCGCCAGGGCTTTAACGTTAGCCCATGGCCCTTTACCCGCGAACATGTCCTCCCAGGACCACCATTGGCCCACCTGGGCCATCGCCAACCGCTCCAGCTCCTTACCCGGCGTTTGCTCCTGCACACGCTGCTTGGTCCAGTTTTGGTGGGATCTTCTGTCACGCTCGTCGTGAGCAACGGACCAAGGCGCAGCGTGATATGCGTACATCTTTTAATAAGTACTTTAAACACGAACAACAAAACAACAAAATGATACGTGACGTCCTAAGGTTAACAAACACAAACCTCTCCGGAACAAGATCCCACAAAACACAAGTGCACAACAGGCTGCCTAAGTATGGTTCCCAATCAGAGACAACAAGCAACAGCTGATTCACGTTGCCTCTGATTGAGAACCACCCCGGCCAACATAGAAACACATAACCTAGAACAGAACATAGAAAACGAAACATAGACACTACACAAAGAAACTAACACCCTGGCTCAACATACAAGAGTCCCCAGAGCCAGGGCGTGACAAACAAAGCCATGACTCTTTGAGTTGTTGAGGAGAGAGGGAGAAAGGAAGAGCGAAAGAGAGAGAGAGAGTGAATGTGAAAAGAGAGATAGGTGTGTGTGTGAGAGACAGAAAGAGAGAGAGAGATAGAAAAGAAAGAGAACAGATTGAGAAAGATAAGAAAGAGAGAGAGAGAGAGAGAGAGAGAGAGAGAGAGAGAGAGAGAGAGAGAGAGATAAAAAGAGAAGGACAGAGGGAAGGAAGGAGAAAGAAAATGAGACAGACAAGAACATGGAGACAGATAAAAAGAGAAGGACAGGGGGAGGTCACCTACCCCAGCCGATGAGTGTGTACCACCAGAAGTACTTATTGTGTGAGACGAAGGTGAGGGCAAGGAGGGTCTGGAGGTACATGCCCTCGACCAGCAACCAGAAGTAGTTAGCCAGGATACTGAACTGGAAGAAGGCCACCGCTGACTTACACGCCGTCTACATGAGAACACAACACACACTCAAAAACATGCTGTGTTGTTTGGATGACCCAACTGCTGGGTTGCAGGCATTGGGTCACTTAGTTGTTGAATTGTTTTCTTTAAAAATACTAAAGTTGGGTTGTTGATGCTGGGTTATTGATGCTGGGTTTTTGAGATATGACCCAGTGGTTCAGATCAGAAGACTGGAGGTGTGGCTTAGTAGGGGCGTGGCTTTCACATAGTTAATTTTGGCCAGCCTTTAGAATAAATGTCATTCCGGTTCATCTGTTCCGGTTCACTGACAATTTTGTAGTGTTAATGAGGCTTATATAAGTGCACTCCTCGGGTGCCCCATCCACCACTCCAATGACTCCCTGAGCCACAATCACACTTTCTCACCCTTCTATACTTCTGTAGTTGTCTCTCTAATGTCCCGATCTCCTCTCTGTGCTGTGGATTTAGTTTCTAAATATAGAATGCCCCATCGGGGTGTGAGAACTCTCTCCTCTTTTCTGTCCTCTTTTCTGTACACACGCGACTGGACGACTCGCTCTTTTTAGAAGCATGTATCAGCATAAAAGTATACTGAGGAGAAAGTCTTGACTCGCTCTCTCTCTCACAGACTTGTTTCAATTAGTTAAAATGCTCACCCTCTCATGCTGTTCCCATACAACAAGATGAGTCATACACTCTGAAGGCAATGACGTTCAAAAGAGGAAAGTGCTAGGATGAAGAACTTAGTATAGATCAGTGGGATACTCTATGAACTTACATGAAGTTCATGTAGATACGGTATAGAATATCTAAATATATGGTGGTATAAGAGGTAGAAGTCACAGGGAGTTAGAGACAGTATTGGGACATTAAGTCCAGTATAGTAAGTGTCCTTTGTTGATGACATCATGGCACTCACAGTGGACATGAAGCAGTGGTCGAGGTTCTCGTCAGCAAAAAGAACCCCATCCTTGATGAAGACGGCACTGGCTCTCAGGATGAACGAGGAGAACAGGTTGATGTGGATGTAGTTCCTGGTACAGTGGAACTTCCTGAACGGGAAAGTCAACTTCCTGTTAAACTGACCTCATTTCCTGTCAGGCCAGTTTAGAGGGTCCATTGCAAATGTATTCCCATACAATATATACTGTACCATTATAAACTATAATACATATATGAATGCAGCCCATTCTTACAGTGTTATCTATTTATCATGACAAGTTTATCAAGTATCTGTGTATCTCTTAGGAATGAATATTGGACTGAGAATGTCCCAGGGTTACCTGAACACAGCGAAGACAAAGATGGCTGATATGAGGGAGATGAGGGAGGTTGCGTATCCTGCAGTGTACACCTGACTGATGGTCGAAAAGTATGTTGTCTGGAAATCAACAGGTCAAAGGTCAGAAAGAAACATATAGTACAGGTTATAGTATTTTGGGAGGTTTCATTTATTTGCACCAAAGAAAACTAGTGAAAGACAAAACAGTACAGATAGAAAATAGGGAAAAACGGTGTGCAAGTGAAGTTGGAAACCCAAAACTGCTTACAGTGCATTCAGAAAGTATTCAGTCCCTTGACTTTTTACACATTTGGTAACATTACAGCCTTATTCTCAAATTGATTAAATTGTTTTTATTCCCCCTCATCAATCTACACACAATACCCCATAATGACAAAGCAAAAATTGGTTTTTAGACATTTTTGTAAATGTATTAAAAAGAAAATACTGAAATATCACATTTACATAAGTATTCAGACCCTTTACTCAGTACTTTGTTGAAGCACCTTTGGCAGCGATTACAGCCTAGAGTCTTCTTGGGAATGACGCTACAAGCTTGGCACACCTGTATTTGAGGAGTTTCTCCCATTCTTCTCTGCAGATCCTCTCAAGCTTTGTCAGGTTAGATGGGGAGCATCGCTGCACAGCTATTTTCAGGTCTGTCCAGAGATGTTCGATTGGGTTCAAGTCCGGGCTCTGGCTGGGCCACTCAAGGACATTCAGAGACTTGTCCCGAAGCCCCTCCTGCATTGTCTTGGCTGTATGCTTAGGGTAGTTGTCCTGTTGGAAGGTGAACCTTCACCCCAGTCTGAGGTCCTGAGTGCTCTGGAGCAGGTTTTCATCAAGGATCTCTCTGTACTTTGCTCCGTTCATCTTTCTCTCGATCCTGACTAGTCTCAGAGTCCCTGCCACTGAAAAACATCCCCACAGCATGATGCTGCCACCACCATGCTTCACCGTAAGGATGGTGACAGGTTTCCTCCAGACGTGACACTTGGCATTCAGGCCAAAGAGTTCAATCTTGGTTTCATCAGACCAGAGAATCTTGTTTCGCATGGTCTGAGAGTCCTTTAGGTGCCTTTTGGCAAACTCCAAGCAGGCTGTCATGTGCTTTTTACTGAAAAATGGCTTCCATCTGGCCACTCTACCATAAAGACCTGATTGGTGGAGTGCTGCAGAGATGGTTGTCCTTCTGGAAGGTTCTCCCATCTCTACAGAGGAACTCTGGAGCTCTGTCAGAGTGACCATCGGGTTCTTGGTCACCTCCCTGACCAAGGTCGTTCTCCCCCGATTGCTCAGTTTGGCCGGGCAGGCCAGCTCTAGGAAGAGTTTTGGTGGTTCCAAACTTCTTCCATTTAAGAATGATGGAGGCCATTGTGTTCTAGGGGACCATCAATGCTGCAGAAATATTTTGGTACCTTTCCCCAGATCTGTGCCTCGACACAATCCTGTCTCTGAGCTCTAGGACAATTCCTTCGACCTCATGGCTTGGTTTTTGCTCTGACATCCACTGTCAACTGTGGACCATATATAGACAGGTGTGTGCCTGTACAAATAATGTCCAATCAATTGAATTTACCACAGGTGGACTCCAATCAAGTTGTAGAAACATCTCAAGGATGATCAATGGAAACAAGATGCACCTGAGCTCAATGTGTAGTCTCATAGCAAAGGGTCTGAATACTTATGTAAATAAGGTATTTCTGTTTTTGATTTGTAATACATTTGCAAATATTTCTAAAACCTGTTTTCGCTTTGTCATTATGGGGTATTGTGTGTAGATTGATTAATTTAATCCATTTTAGAATAAGGCTGTAACGTAACAAAATGTGGAAAAGGGGAAGGGGTCTGAATACTTTCCGAATGCACTATACACTGGAGTTGTTTACAAAGACGACATTGAATTTTCCTGAGTGGCCTAATTACAGTTTTTACTTAAATTGGCTTGAAAAAACATAGCAAGACTTGAAAATAGCTGTCTCGCAATGAGCAACAACCAACTTTTTCTTAAAGTCATTTAGCAGACGCTCTTATCCAGAGGGATTTACAATTAGGGTTAAGTGCCTTGCTCAAAGTTACATCGACAGATTTTTCACCAAGTCGGCTTGGGGATTAGAACCAGCAACCTTTCGGTTACTGGCACAATGCTCTTAACCACTAAGCTACCTGCCGTGACAGAGCTTTACAATTATTTAAAGAATAATGGGCAAATATTGTATAATCCAGGTGTGCAAAGCTCTTGGAGACTTACCTAGAAAGACTCACAGCTGTAATCGCTGCCAAAGGTGATTCTAAAATGTATTGACTCAGTGGGTTGAATGCTAATATAACCAATATATATATTAGTGTTTTATTTTCCATTGATTAAAACAATAAATATAATTATTCTTCAATTTTTTTAATAGAGAGTATTTTCTGTAGATCGTTGACAAAAAAAAAGACAATTAAATCCATTTTAATCCCACTTTGTAACAACAAAATGTGGAAAATTCAATGGGTGTTAATACTTTCAAAAGGCACTGTAGCTATACACTGATGTCTGGACCTTGACAAACTGCAGAGAGTGAGTGATCACTGGGGAAAACACACAAGACTGATGGCTATAGCTTGCTCAACAAGTATATTATTCTTCTGGATTTATCTAGCTCTATTTGTGATATTTTACCTTGCCTCGCTGGCTTGCTAGCTTGCTAGGTGGGTCGTTCCACGAAAAGCCATCCTTTGATATTTTAAGTAGAATTAAAAATATAGCACCAATATTTAGTTTTAAAATCCTGTTATATTAAATTAATTGTGCTTTAATATAGACCACATAGATAATTCAATAAATTCGATTTTTTTATATGAATAAAGGATTGCTAAAGTGCCAAAATTCATTATTTTGACATGTCCCTCCTTCATCCCTGTGTCACTTCTAGGAAGATTTGAATCCAATTAATCCCAACATATATCCAAGTTTCACCATCATTGTAAAGACTTAGTTATTTTGTTACTTTGACAGTCATTTCTGTGATTAGTGATTAATTTACATCTGTCCCTCATTTTAAGGTCAAGACTGTTACGTGAACTGAACTCTCGTTATGGTGAAACGATTCCTTTAAAAAAAAAGAAATTTTCTGAAGAAACATTGAACAAATCATAGAGTAAAAGCAGGTGAGCTGGTTCTACTATTTTTGGCCATTTTCTGATGTTTTGTGGAGGAAAACTGAGCGGGTCGAGCATAACACCTCAACCATGTTACCCATAGTTAGACAGGCTAGAAATGTTTTAACAATTTCATTTTTTTTTGTGAAGCTACCATTCAATTGCCACTCCCTGTTGCACACAAGCTTTCATTCCCCCTGTCACAAGGGGATTTATGGCTGATTTAAGAAGAAATCGTCAACCCTGGTATGGTCAACCCTGTTACTTTATTTGGGACTTAATAGGCACTTACTATAGTAATATTTTTTTTTAGCTCTTCAGATGTTTTTAAATATTTTTTTAAATGAAGTTCAACATGTGCTCTTTATGACAGAATGTAAACATTTCGTGAAATCAAATGTTTTCTTGACCAAGTTACAATTCTCAAAAGGCACCGAATTGGTGGAACGACCCAGGTAATCAATGACATCTGCAATGTTGTAGACAATAACCATTGGATTTGGGGTTTCTTACTTGCATGAGCTGCATCTGAAGTCTGACTTGATCGTATTTACTTCTATGTAAACAAACTGGTGTCTGATTCGGAACTGTGCGTGTAACTTTTCATGATGCGCCCGCGAAATGGGTCTGTTAGAATAAGAGTGCAGTACAGGCCAGATAATTCAGACAAGCACATGACTGAATGGTTCATTAGAACATTCCTTCTGTCCTTAACCAATCACATTCCTTCTCCCGCAGAACAAAATTGAAAGTGGAACATTTCAATGAGTGACTGAATTACAGAGTGAGTAAAAGAGAATGTACAGTATGTGAGTGATGTGATATCTCTAACCTCTGATCCTGTCTCTGACTCCTCTGCGAACTCACAGGCCTCCTCATACGTAGGGTACAGCTCTGTCCAGCCATCCTTCGTACAGTTCCTGAAGATGTAACCTGAGAAACAGATCAACCAATCAGAGGCCAGCCCTGAGGGAGTGGAGCCACCAGAGCTGGTAGCCTGCAGGTATTTTCTCAACTAGATTTTCTCACCTGCGTCCTCTCTCCTCCATCCTCTCTCGCCTCCTTTTGAAAAGGATCAAAGGTAGTCGAGGAGAGAGAACGTGGACGGAAATGCACTTGTTTGAAATTAGACGATCCTTCTCCACACGCGCTTTTTCAGGCAGATTACGTTTAATAATAAAAAGCCATTTAGCAGACGCTTTTATCCAAAGCGACTTACAGTCATGCGTGCATGCATGCATTTATTTTTTTGTGTATGGGTGGTCCCGGGGATCGAACCCACTACCTTGGCGTTACAAGCGCCTTGCTCTACCAGCTGAGCTACAGAGGACCACAGGGGTGGAATCCCAAAATAAATTTGTAAAGTCATAAAAACTAATGAAGTTAGTTGTGCAAAACATTTTATAGATAAAACCATATGTAGCATATTGTTCTCTGACAATACTACAGCTGATTCAAAGGGGGTGTGGAAGATATCAAAACTCTTCTGCAGTATGATACACTGGTGCTTCCAAGCCAAAAGGAGGCTATCGAGGAGGGGAGGACCATATTCTGTTTGCCTACTAACAAATTGACAAACTCCTCGACCACTCAACCACTTATCGGTTTCTGGATCATGGAGGAGAGAGGAGAGATGACGGAGGATGGACTTTTACCCAAATTACTTATCCCCAGAGAGAACTCAGGAAGGTCGCCAGTTCATTCTCCCCTCACATACAGTAGAATAATCAGACAGAACTACAGTATTACAAAATTGCAGAATTCCTTCAGTTATACAGATCAGAGGCATCATTCCCATTTATTTGTCCTGTTTTTATTTTGAATAAAAAAAAGTGTTTGTTTGTTTTTTCTCTGTAATACTACTAGCCACTTAGCAATTTCATGAAATTGGCTTTAACTAGCCCAGATAGGTTCCCAATCTCCTAACCTCATAACTCGCTACCAAGAAGCCATTTCAGGCTATCAATGAAGTTAGAGTAGCTAGCTTGTCTAACTATTTTAGCTGACATGCCTGCTGGCAAGGTTGGTAGACTTTAGAAAAGCAAGCAATAACTAAATGTACTGAATAAGACTCACATTCCTTTCAATATGTTACCCAGATTTGAGTAGAGATGCAGAGAAGCATATTTTGTATCATAAAAAAAGAACGACCAGTTAGGAGGATAGACAGATACGCCTGTATCATGCTCCAATAGCAGGGATTCAGTTCATATTGGGCATCAGGACCCTTCAGCGTGCAGTCTGCTCAAGAATCCATCTGTCTGCCTACTCTTCATGGCCTACGGAGAAGCAAAGAACATGCATATCAGAGTATCCCTCCTCTCTCTCAGTAGCACAAGTTTGAGTTCACGTTAAGGCAACAGTGTTGGGTTTACATTACGCTTTTCCAAAGGCGGTCTGTATGATGGCTTTAGGGGTTCTTCAATCTGAATACACTAAATGTTCCTTCCCTTTCATTTTGCATGATCTCTTAAGTTCTGTTTGCATTATGGACTCTCGCATTGTCGTCATCACCAGAACTAACACTGCTTTGTCCTCTCTTTCATTATATGCTGCCTGCATGCTAAGCACGGGCAGCACCTGGCGAACCTCTGTTCAACATTGATGCTGGTAACCAATGACAAGATACTGGAACTCATAACGTCTCTAGTTCCGTCGTCAGCGCTGAGTGCTAGCTCTGAGCTATTGGCGCCCAATTCTGCATCGGCCCTGCTACTGCTTCTCAATTGATCCTGGCTTCACTCTGATCCTCTGCTGCTACGATGTTACAATTGATTTATTTGAGATTGTGAAACCTACCTGAGTTCTTGCAGTATTGCAATATGATCATGATTACTGTATGGCAGCCCATGGTCCATTAGCTATTTTGCATAGGTAGAATATCCTCATACACCAAGATGACAGCTTTTTCCGCCTCATGGGCTTCAAAGGAGCAATCTTCAGGCATGACAAAGGTTACAAAAAATTGATTCACGTTAAGGGAAGGGTGTTTTTGCTCATACAATGATTTTATTAGAGGCAGTCGTCTCATGGATTTCTACAGGTTTTTTACGGTTGGGGAATACACTTCGTATTCATTTATCTTTAATCATTGCATGATCTCACGATTTTCTGATTTAATTATGGACACTCACATGTTCACTGTGTTAAAAAGCATGACCAAACTAATAGGAAGAGTAAAGGTATGCCTGGTATTATTGCTCAAACTAACACTGCTTTCAAACTAACACTGCTTTCTGTCCTCTCTTCCATGTTACACTACCTGCAATGGTGACCACTGGCCACGCCGGGCGTTCCGTTATTCATCACTGATGCTGGCAAATGAGATACTGGTTTTCATCACGGCTCCATCTCCTCTGCCAATGCTGCGGGCTATCCCCTGAGATATACGCAGCCATTCATTTCGCATTGGCGCTGCTTCAACAGCTTCTCTGTCTGTCCCTGCATCCACACTGAAGATCATAGGGCGTGGTCCTCTACTTCCTACGAACATTATATAAGATTAAATGCCTAGGAGATTTCTTATGCCAAAAGTGATGAGTTCATCTGCGAGTTCCATGCCATATATAGTTTGCTATGTTGGTGTTCAGCCCACAGTCAATAGCTTTGCTTTGGTTGTTATCGTAATAAGGTTCAGTGCATATTCGTACAGGTGGTTGGCTGGGTGCTTATTGCAGGCCACAGCAACAGCAAGGACAGCAATAATAAGAAGAGACCTGCTTGGGCCAAGAAACACGAGCAATGGACAATAGACCGGTGGAAATGTGTCCTTTGGTCTGGAGTCCAAATTTGAGATTTTCGGTTCCAACCGCTGTGTCTTTGTGAGACGCGGTGTGGGTGAACGGATGATCTCGGCATGTCTAGTTCTGAACATAAAGCATGGAGGAGGGGGTGTGATGGTGTGGGGGTACTTTGCTGGTGAAACTGTCTGTGATTTATTTAGAATTCAAGGCACACTTAACCAGCCTGGCTACCACAGCAGTGATACGCCATCCCATCTGGTTTGGGCTTAGTTGGACTGTCATTTGTTTTTCAAAAGGACAATTACCTAACACACCTCCAGGCTGTGTAAGGTCTATTTTACCAAGAAGAAGAGTGATGGAGTGCTGCATCAGATGACCTGGCCTCCACAATCCCCCGACCTCAACCCAATTGAGATAGTTTGGGATGAGTCGGACGGCAGAGTGAAGGAAAAGCAGCCAACAAGTGCTCAGCATTTGTGGGAACTCCTTCAAGACTGTTGGAAAAGCATTCCAGTTGAAGCTGGTTGAGAGAATTCAAAGAACGTGCAAAGCTGTCATTAAGGCAAAGGGTGGCTATTTGAATAAACTCTAAAGCTCTGTCAGAGTGACCATCGGGATCTTGGTCACCTCCCTGACCAAGGCCCTTCTCCCCCGATTGCTCAGTTTGGCCGGGCGGTCAGCTCTAGGAAGAGTCTTAGTGGTTCCAAACTTCTTCCATTTAAGAATGATGGAGGCCACTGTGTACTTGGGGACCTTCAATGCTGCAGACATTTTTTGGTACCCTTCCCCAGATCTGTGCCTACGACACAATCCTGTCTCGGAGCTCTACAGACAATTCCTTCGACCTCAAGGCTTGGTTTTTGCTCTGACATGCACTGTCAACTGTGGAACCTTTTATAGACAGGTGTGTGCCTTTCGAAATCATGTCCAATCAATTGGATATACCACAGGTGGACTCCAATGAAGTTGTAGAAACATCTCAAGGATGATCAATGGAAACAGGATGCACCTGAGCTCAATTTCGAGTCTCATAGCAAAGAGTCTGATAAGGTATTTCAGTTTTTTATTTTTCATAAATTTGCAAACATTTCCAAAAACCTGTTTTCGCTTTGTCATTATGGGGTATTGTATGTAGATTTCTGAGGACACTTTTAATCAATTTTAGAATGAGGCTGTAATGTAACAAAATGTGGTAAAAGTCAAGGGGTCTGAATACTTTCCGAAGGCACTGTAAGTCAGTATCTGGTGTGACCACCATTTGGCACTACACATCTCTTTCACGTAGAGTTGATCAGAGTGTTGATTGTGGCCTGTGGAATGTTATCCCACTCCTCTTCAATAGCTGTGCGAAGTTGCTGGATATTGGCGGGAACTGGAACACGCTGTCGTAGATGTCGATCCAGAGCATCCCAAACTTGCTCAATGGGTGAGTATGCAGGCCATGGAAGAACTGGGACATTTTCAGCTTCCAAGAATTGTGTACAAATTCTTGCGACATGGGGCCGTGCATTATCATGCTGAAATATGAGGTGATGGCTGCTGGTGAATGGCACGACAATGGGCCTCAGGAACTCGTCAACGTATCTCTGTGCATTCAAATTGCCATAGATTAAATGCAATTGTGTTCGTTGTGCGCAGCTTATGCCTGCCCATACCATAACCCCACCACCACCATTGGGCACTCTGTTCAGAATATTGACATCAGCAAACGGCTCGCCCACAAGACACCATACACGCTGTCTGCCATCTGCCCAGGACAGTTGAAACCGAGATTCATCCGTGAAGAGCACACTTCTCCAGCGTGCCAGTGGCCATCGAAGGTGATCGTTTGCCCACTGAAGTTGGTTACGACATCGAACTGCAGCCAGGTCAAGACCCTGGTGAGTATGATGCAGATGAGCTTTTCTGAGATGTTTTCTGGCAGTTTTTGCAGAAATTATTAGGTTGTGCAAACCCACAGTTTCATCAGCTGTCTGGATTGCTGGTCTCAGATGATCCCGCAGGTAAAGAAGCCGGATGTGGAGGTCCTGGCTAGTGTGGTTACACGTGGTCTGCGGTTGTGAGGCCATTTGGACTTAATGCCGAATTCTCTAAAATGACGTTGGAGGCGGATTATGGTAGAGAAATTCATATTCAATTCTCTGGCAACAGCTCTGGTGGACATTCCTGCAGTCAGCATGCCAATTGCACGCTCCCTCAAAACTTAAGACATCTGTGGCATTGTGTTGTGTGATATAACTGCACATTTTAGAGTGGCACCTGTGCGATGATCATGCAGTTGAATCAGCTTCTTGATATGCCAAATGCCACACCTGTCAGGTAGATGGATTATCTTGGCAAATGCTCAATAAGAGGGATGTAAACAAATTTGTACACAACATTTGAGAGAAATAAGCTTTTTGTGTGTATAGAACATTTTTTGTATATTTTATTTCAAGTCATGAAACATAGGACCAACACTTTACGTGTTGCATATATTTTTTTGTTCAAAATATAAAAAAAAGGTTTCCTGTATAATTTAGCTAGCTAGCCCAAATGGAATTGTCAGCACTGTTTATCAAGATATTTAGCAAGTTCATCTTAAATAATTTCATTAAAAACTTTACAGGGTGAGGTCTGGGTACTTTTCATTAAATAAATAAAAAATAATATATATATATATATAATTTTTTAAAATGAAAAGTACCCAGACCTCACCCCGTAAAGTTTATATATATATATATATATATATATATATATATATATATATATATATATAGATGGTCATTGGCAAACTTCAGCTTGATTTTAATCCATTATGGCGTAATGTGTTACTAATGGTTTTCTTTGAGACTGTGGCCCCAGCTCTCTTCAGGTCATTGACCAGGTCCTGCCGTGTGGTTCTGGGCTGATCCCTCACCTTCCTCATGATCATTGATGCCCCACGAGGTGAGATCTTGCATGGAGCCCCAGACCGAGGGTGATTGACCGTCATCTTGAACTTCTTCCATTTTCTAATAATTGCGCCAACAGTTGTTGCCTTCTCACCAAGCTGCTTGCCTATTGTCCTGTAGCCCATCCCACCCTTGTGCAAGTCTACAATTTTATCCCTGATGTCCTTACACAGCTCTCTGGTCTTGGCCACTGTGGAGAGGTTGGAGTCTGTTTGATTGAGTGTGTGGACAGGTGTCTTTTATACAGGTAACGAGTTCAAACAGGTGCAGTTAATACAGGTAATGAGTGGAGAACAGGAGGGCTTCTTAAAGAAAAACTAACAGGTCTGTGAGAGCCGGAATTCTTACTGGTTGGTAGGTGATCAAATACTTATGTCATGCAATAAAATGCAAATTAATTACTTAAAAATCATACAATGTGATTTTCTGGATTTTTGTTTTAGATTCCGTCTCTCACAGTTGAAGTGTACCTATGATAAAAAATTACAGACCTCTACATGCTTTGTAAGTAGGAAAACCTGCATAATCGGCAGTGTATCAAATACTTGTTCTCCCCACATATATATACAGTGCCCGCCACAATTATTGGCACCCCTGTTTAAGATGTGGTCGAGGACTTCCAAAAATTCTCCTTTTTTTTTAAACAACATAGAACCGAAATGCAAAAAAAGAGAAAAATCCAACCTTTTATTTAAGTACATTACTTTGGTGTAAAAAAAAAAAATCACACATTTAGAAAAAAAATAACTTGAAATCATCTGTCCCACAATTATTGGCACCCCTGATGTTAATACTTTGTACAACCCCCTTTTGCCAACAAGACAGCACTTAATCTCCTCCTATAACATTTCACAAGATTGGAGAACACAGAGAGAGGGATCTTTGACCATTCTTCTTTGCACAATCTTTCTAGATCATCCAGTGTCCTGGGTCCTCTCGTATGCACTCTCCTCTTTAGCTCGCCCCACAGGTTTTCGATTGGGTTGAGGTCTGGGGACTGAGATGGCCATGGGAGGACCTTGAGTTTGTGACTGCTGAACCATTTTTGTGTAGATTTTGCCACATGTTTTGGATCAATATCCTGCTGAAAGACCCAATGACGACCCATCTTCAGCTTTCTGGCAGAGGCCATCAGGTTTTTATTTAAAATGTACTGGTAGTTCAAAGCGTTCATAATGTCATGCACCCTAACAAGGTTCCCAGGGCCTTTGGAAGAGAAACAGGCCCACAGCATCACAGATCCTCCACCATACTTCACGGTGGGCATGAGGTGCTTTTCGGCATACTCATCTTTTGTTTTACGCCAGACCCACTTAGAGTGTTTGTTGCCAAAAAGCTCAATCTTAGTCTCATCTGACCAAAGCACACGATCCCAGTTGAAGTCCCAGTGCCGCTTAGCAAACTCCAGACGTTTACGTTTGTGAGTGTTAGTGAGAAAAGGCTTTTTCCTTGCATGCCTCCCAAACAGCTTGTTGGCATGTAGAGAGCGTCTGATGGTTGTTTTGGAGACTTTGTGACCCCAAGATGCCACTCTTTGATGCAATTCTGTGACAGTGAGCTTAGGACTTTTTTTACTTCTCTTACCATCCTCCTCACTGTGCGTTGTGGCAAGATAAACTTGGGACCTCTTCCAGCCTTGTTTGTCACTGTTCCAGTTGTTTTAAACTTCTTAATGATTCCTCTGACTGTAGATACGGGCAAGTTAAGGCGAGTGGCTATTTTCTTGTAGCCATTGCCTGACTTATGAAGGTCGAAACAAATCTGCCTTACTTGAATGGTGTGTTCTCTTGTCTTTGCCATGTTGACAAATGGGTAAGAGAATTAGGCCTCTGTGTCACGTCATATTTATACCCCAGGGAAACAGGAAGTCATGTATTACTAATTAAAAGTTCCTAGATACCCTGACCAACATTAGCAACTACAGAAATATATATTTAAAAAAAAATCAATTTAAATTTTCAGCGGAATTGTTAGGGGTGCCAATAATTGTGGGACACATGATTTCAAGTTATTTTTTTCTAAATGTGTGACTTTTTTTTTTTACCACCAAAGTAATGTACTTAAATAAAAGGTTGGATTTTTCTCTTTTTTTGCATTTGGGTTCTATGTTGTTTAAAAAAAAAGGAGAATTTTTGGAAGTCCTCGACCACATCTTAAACAGGGGTGCCAATAATAGTGGAGGGCACTGTATATACACTACAAAGTATGTGGACACCTGCTCGTCAAATATCTCATTCCAAAATCCTTGCCATTAATATGGAGTTGGTCCCCCTCCTTGCTGCTATAATAGCCTCCACTCTTCTGGGAAGGCTTTCCACTAGATATTGGAACATTGCTGCAGGGACTTGCTTCCATTCAGCCACAAGAGCATTAGTGAGGTCGGGCACAGATGTTGGGCGATTAGGCCTGGCTCACAGTCGTCATTCCAATTCATCGCAAACATGTTCGATGGGGTTGAGCTCAGGGCTCTGTGCAGGCCAGTGAAGTTCTTCCACACTGATCTCAAAAAACAATTTCTGTATGGACCTCGCTTTGTGCACAGGGGCATTGTCATGCTGAAACAGTAAAGGTCTTTCCCCAAACTGTTGCCAAAGTTGGAAGCAGTTGGAACCACAGAATCATCTACAATGTCATTGTATGCTATAGCGTTAAGATATCCCTTCACTGGAACTAAGGGGCCTAGCCAGAACCATGAAAAACAGCTCCAGACCATTATTCCTCCTCCACCAAACTTTACAGTTGTCACCATGCATTGGTGCAGGTTGCATTCTCCTGGCAACCGCCAAACCCAGATTTGTCCGTAGTACTGCCAGATGGTGAAGGGCGATTCATCACTACAGAGAACGCGTTTCCACTGCTCCAGAGTCCAATGGTGGCGTGCTTTACACCACTCCAGCCGACGCTTGGCATTGCGCATGGTGATCTTTGTCTTGTGTGCGGCTGCTTGGCCATGGAAACCCATTTCATGAAGCTCCCGACAAACAGTTATTGTGCTGACTTTGCTTCCAGAGGCAGTTTGGAACTCGGTAGTGAGTGTTGCAACTGAGGACAGACAATTACAATGCTTTAAGCCTAGGCCTGGACTAAAACCAATTTCGAGGCAGGATTTCCATTGTACATGCTTTTTACTCCGGGTCTAGGTTTAATCTGTGTCCAGGGAAAAAGGCCTAGTACAAACTGTGTAAAATTACATAAACACAGACATTGATAACGGATCAATTTGCTGCTGATGGTCTATTAATGAGATTAGTCAGTTGTGGACTAGAGCAGTTTCCTGGTAGTGAGATCTACTGACATACAGTGGGGAAAAAAAGTATTTAGTCAGCCACCAATTGTGCAAGTTCTCCCACTTAAAAAGATGAGAGAGGCCTGTAATTTTCATCATAGGTACACGTCAACTATGACAGACAAATTGAGAAAACAAATTCCAGAAAATCACATTGTAGGATTTTTAATGAATTTATTTGCAAATTATGGTGGAAAATAAGTATTTGGTCACCTACAAACAAGCAAGATTTCTGGCTCTCATAGACCTGTAACTTCTTCTTTAAGAGGCTCTTCTGTCCTCCACTTGTTACCTGTATTAATGGCACCTGTTTGAACTTGTTATCAGTATAAAAGACACCTGTCCACAACCTCAAACAGTCACACTCCAAACTCCACTATGGCCAAGACCAAAGAGCTGTCAAAGGACACCAGAAACAAAATTGTAGACCTGCACCAGGCTGGGAAGACTGAATCTGCAATAGGTAAGCAGCTTGGTTTGAAGAAATCAACTGTGGGAGCAAATATTAGGAAATGGAAGACATACAAGTCCACTGATAATCTCCCTCGATCTGGGGCTCCACGCAAGATCTCACCCCGTGGGGTCAAAATGATCACAAGAACGGTGAGCAAAAATCCCAGAACCACACGGGGGGACCTAGTGAATGACCTGCAGAGAGCTGGGACCAAAGTAACAAAGCCTACCATCAGTAACACACTACGCCGCCAGGGACTCAAATCATGCAGTGCCAGACGTGTCCCCCTGCTTAAGCCAGTACATGTCCAGGCCCGTCTGAAGTTTGCTAGAGTGCATTTGGATGATCCAGAAGAGGATTGGGAGAATGTCATATGAAACCAAAATAGAACTTTTTGGTAAAAACTCAACTCGTCGTGTTTGGAGGACAAAGAATGCTGAGTTGCATCCAAAGAACACCATACCTACTGTGAAGCATGGGGGTGGAAACATCATGCTTTGGGGCTGTTTTTCTGCAAATGGACCAGGACGACTGATTCGTGTAAAGGAAAGAATGAATGGGGCCATGTATCGTGAGATTTTGAGTGAAAACCTCCTTCCATCAGCAAGGGCATTGAAGATGAAACGTGGCTGGGTCTTTCAGCATGACAATGATCCCAAACAAACCGCCCGGGTAACGAAGGAGTGGCTTCGTAAGAAGCATTTCAAGGTCCTGGAGTGGCCTAGCCAGTCTCCAGATCTCAACCCCATAGAAAATCTTTGGAGGGAGTTGAAAGTCTGTGTTGCCCAGCGACAGCCCCAAAACATCACTGCTCTAGAGGAGATCTGCATGGAGGAATGAGCCAAAATACCAGCAACAGTGTATGAAAACCTTGTGAAGACATACAGAAAACATTTGACCTGTGTCATTGCCAACAAAGGGTATATAACAAAGTATTGAGAAACTTTTGTTATTGACCAAATACTTATTTTCCACCATAATTTGCAAATAAATTCATAAAAAATCCTACAATGTGATTTTCTGGATTTTTTTTCCTCATTTTGTCTGTCATAGTTGACGTGTACCTATGATTAAATTTACAGGCCTCTCTCATCTTTTTAAGTGGGAGAACTTGCACAATTGGTGGCTGACTAAATACTTTTTTGCCCCACTGTAACTATGCCATCACAATGATGGACGAGGCGACTCCATCAAACACACACATATACACGCATGTGCTCTCCCACTCTCATGAGCAAGCACACTTGCACACATGTAAACACACGCAAAAAAACACACACAAAAAAAACACACGCACACATGCACGAACACACAGGGCGGATTCGATTATGCTGAACTTGAATTTAAGTTTGAATTTTCAAACGTTTTCATTGGGATGGCAAATAAAGTGTTTTTATCAAAAGCAACACTTTTGCATGTGAAAACACAGAATCCTACTCGTTACTTTTCTTTTAAGATGGCTTCGCCGTGTGCTTTGAACAGGCACCTGGCTTACACCCATAAGGCAGCCCTGTTTCAAAACTAATGCAATCAACTTTCAAAACATGCCTACCCGGGCCAGATTAGTCTAATCCACTCACACACACACAACAACACACACACACATGATGGAGGAGGGGTGTCCGTCACAGGAGAAATAGCCCTCCTATTCAGTTCATTAGGATTTAATTGGCTGGACCATAATTCCATCTGCTTCGTAATAAGATAAGGTTAATAAGGTAGGTGGGAGGAGATATGGAGATGCACCTCCCTCTGTCTTCTGGAGGGCACATGAGTGATAACACACATCATTACACACATTATAATAGGCGCACACACACACACACACACAAACATACACACAAACATACACGCAAACATACACACACTTTCTCTCTTACTACAGTACATACCCTTAACCCTCCTCTAACACACACACTCTCTCTCTATCTCCCACAAAAACACAGTCCTCCTGTCTAGCAGCTGTTGGCCTACAGAGCAGCCATAGAGAACAGAACAGAGTAGCTACATCCTGTTATGATAATACCTGCATCCCCCTCCAAGGGTCAACTTGGTGTCACCATGGGGGCAGCAGTGTGCAATCTGGGAGCTAATACCTCATCCTCAAGGGGATGGGCTGTTATGTTCTGTATACTGATGAGTTGATTTGGAAAGCATGGCCAACTCATACCTCAGGCTCAAGGCAGGGTATATGAGATGGGCTGTTGTGTAGTCTGGAGCCAGCTAGCTGGCATTCAATCAAAATCAAATCAAATGTATTTTTCACATATACAGTTTACAGCAGGTATTAAAGGTGCAGCAAAATGCTTATGCACTACCTCCCTCAACAATGCAGTACATTCATCAATAATCAATAATAACAATGATAAGAGTCAAGTCAAAAATAAGTAGTAGAAGTAATGGCAGAGGTAGTATTCATCTGGAATGTATTTACACTGTATTTACAAATATAAAGTGGGTAGTGGAATCAATAGTATATATTAGAACAGCAGCGTTGACTGTGTGTGTGTGTGTTTGTGTGTGTGTGTGTGTGAGAGAGAGAGCTCTGAGAGCATGTGTGCTTGTGTTTGTGTGTTTATGGGTGCTTGTGTGTGTGGGTATGTTTGTGTGTAAGGGTTGGATGTGTGGGTAGTCAGTTTAAATAATTTCTAAGTTGCATATAGTCTTTACGGTGCAAATAGTCTCTAAGGTGCAGGTCTTTGCAGGGAGACAGCTAGGTTTAGCTTTTCAGCAATCTGATGCTTGGTGGTAGAAGCTGTCTTGGACCCTGTTGATACGAGACCCAATACTCAGATACTTCTTGCCAGATGGTAACAGAGTGAACATGGCTCGGGTGACTGGAGTCCTTGATGATCTTTCGGCCCTTCCTCAGACACCGCCTGGTGTAGATGTCCTGGAAGGCAAGGAGCTCGCCCCCAGTGATGTATTGGGCCGTCTACACTACCGTCTGTAGGGCATTCCGGTTTAGGGGCGGTGATGCAGCCGGTCAAGATGCTCTCAACCGTGCAGCTGTGGAACTTCTTTAGGGCCCATGCTGAATTTTTTCAGGCGCCTGAGGTTGAAGAGACCATTGTGATTTGGCCATGTCAGGTTTTCTGTGATGTGCAAGCCAAGGAACTTGAAGCTATTTACCCTCTCCACTGCAGTCCTGCCGATGACAATAGGGGCATGCTCCTCCCCTTTTCCTGTAGTCCAAGATCAGCTCTTTGGTTTCCCTGGCACCACTATGCCAGGGCTTTAACCTACTCCCTGTAGGCTAGCTCGTCGCCATTGACGATCAGGCCCACCACCATCATCGCAAGCCCACCACCGTCGCGTCTTCATAATGATGGTGTTGGAGTCATGTGTGGTGACGCAGTCGTGTGTGTACAGAGAGTACAGAAGGGGGATGAGCAGACACCCCTGGGTGCCCCCGTGTTGAGGGTCAGCGTGGCGGAGCTGTTGTTGCCTACCCTCACCAACTGGGGTCTGCCTGTCAGGAAGTCCAGGATCCAGTTGCAGAGGGAGGTGCTCATACCCAGGGCCTTGAGCTTAGTGTCAAGCTTGGAGGGGAATACGGTATTGAACGCTGAGCTGTTGTCGATGAACAGAATTCTCACATAGGTGTGCCTTTTGTCCAGGTGGGATAGTGCAGTGTGTAGAGCAGTGGTGACTGCGTCATGGATCTGTTGGGGAGGTATGTAAATTGGAGTGGGTCCACGGTGTCAGGTAAGGTGGAGCTGATATGGTCCTTGACCAGCCTTTCGAAGCACTTCATGATGACAGAAGTGAGTGCTACAGAGCGATAGTCATATAGGCAGGTTACCTTAGTTTGCTTGGGTACAGGGACAATGGTGGTCATCTTGAAGCATGTGGGGACCACAGACTGGGACAGGGAGAGGTTGAATATGTCCGTGAACACTCCAGCGAGCTGGTCTGCGCATGCACTGAGGACGCAGCTGGGGATGCCGTCTGGGCCAGCTTGAAGGTCCTATTCACGTCAGCCACAGAGATTGAGAGCTCACAGACCTCTACAGCAGCGGGAGCGCTCATAGGAGGAACAGTGTTGATTGCCTCAAAACGAGAATAAAAGTTGTTTAGCTCGTCTGGGAGAGAGGAATAATAGTGAAGACATCAAAACTATGAAATTACACATATGGAATCATGTAGTAACCCAAAAAGTGTTAAACAAATCAAAATACATTTTACATTTGAGATTCTTCAAATAGCCACCATTTGCCTTGATGACAGCTTTGCAAACTCTTGGCATTCTCTCAAACAGCTTCTTGAGATAGTCACCTGGAATGCATTTAAATTAATTTCCTTCTTAATGAGTTTGAGCTAATCAGTAGTGTTGTGACAAGGTAGAGGGAGTATGCAGAAAATAGCCCTATTTGGTAAAACCCCAAGTCCATATTATGGCAGGAACAGCTCAAATAAGCAAAGAGAAACGACAGTCCATCATTACTTTAAGACATGAAGGTCAGTCAATGCGGACCATTTCAAGAACTTTCAAAGTTTCTTCAAGTGCAGTCGCAAAAACCATCAAGCGCTATGATGAAACTGGCTCTCATGAGGACCACCACAGGAATGGAAGACCCAGAGTTACCTCTGCTGCAGAGGATAAGTGCATCTCAGATTGCAGCCCAAATAAATGCTTCACAGAGTTCAAGTCACAGACACATCTCAACATCAGCTGTTCAGAGGGGACTGCGTGAATCAGGCCTTCATGGTCGAATTGCTGCAAAGAAACCACTACGAAAGGACACCAATAATAAGAAGAGACTTGCTTGGGCCAAGAAACACGAGCAATGGACATTAGACCGGTAGAAATGTTTCCTTTGGTCTGGAGTCTAAGTTAGAGATTTTTGGTTCCAACCGCCTTGGCTTTGTGAGACGCGGTGTGGGTGAACGGATGATCTCCGCATGTGTATTTCCCACCGTAAAGCATGGAGAAGGAGGTGTTATGGTGTGGGGGTGCTTTGCTGGTGACACTGTATGTGATATATTTAGAATTCAAGGCATACTTAACCAGCATGGCTACCACAGCATTCTGCAGCGATATGCCATCCCATCTGGTTTGGGCTTAGTGGGACTATCATTTGTTTTTCAACAGGACAATGACAATTTGCCTGGCATAGAAAATGTGCTCTCTGTTATTCAGAGTAGCTAACCAGCAACACAGCTAACACAATCACTTCAAACTGAAGCTGGAAAGACTGCAAACTAGCTGCACTTCGTTTTACCATTTTTCAATGTACATTTCTTTGTATTTATCCATAGAAATGATGCCAGCTGATTCATGATTTCGACTGGCTGAGAAATACTGCCTGCCTGTCTCTCGTCCTGACACGTTCATTACTATGGGACAGCTGGAGATCGAATTTGAATATTGAAACGATGTTGCAAATGTCGGAAAGAGAGACTGCAAGGTTTATACAAATCTCTGCTGTTAAAAACTAAATGTTAGTCTAAAAGAAATGTGAGATAATGTCTAGATGCTTTTTATAGTGGAGATCAAGTTTATAAATTGTCTGGCTGGGCTGATGAGACAGTGGATTGCGCAGTCAGATGGAACAGAGTAAATAGGCATTTTAACATCATAGATTTAGCCGATGGTAACTTGTGGAATAGACACCAGTTGGAATGCGGTTTTAACCAATCAGCATTCAGGATTAGAACCACCCATTGTATAACAATGTACAGTTTATTGACTATGAGAGCTACACGTTGATTGAATTAGTGTCGTTTTGTATTCATCCATATCCCCAGAAATCCGACCAGAGTTGAATGCGTTGGTCCACGCTCTCAGTTTTGCGTGGATGATGCTATTTACCCACTCATGAGATTTGATTATGGTTTTGAGAATAGATGTTGTGTTTATTTTGCAGACTAAGCATATTCCACTATGCTATCTCCTGCCCTCTGTCTCCTGCCTCTGGCCTCCCACTGTATAAGTAATGAATTACTATGCACTAATGACACCTTCATAACAGCTCAGTAGGCCTATATAAACACAGCAGCTTCCTGAGATGGTGAATAAACAGGGTGTGGAGGTAGACAATTGTGTCAGTTCCCATAGAATAACCATTATACTGATGAGAGGTAATTTAGACTATAGCATCCCTATATCAGACAGAACGCAAAATAAGTGTGTGTGTGCATGCAGTTGTTTATGCTATGCATTAGTTCAATGACAGTGAGCAGACATGACATTTTACAACCTTGAAAAAACGTCCCCTTGTCCACTCCAGTCAGTCCATTGTCATCAGCCAATCACGAACGGGCTGTGATAAATATGAACGAGATGAATGAGATGGAAGAGTAGAGCAGAATAGAAGCAGAGGATGGTGTTCTCTCTCTCCCACCATGGCCTGGAGTGTGGATGGGATGACTGAACACTCTCACAAAGTTCCGCAAGTACCCTGAATCAGAGTATGAGGTCGTCACAAGGTTGAGAGGAGAGTGTGTGAGGGGGAATGTGAGTGAGTGAGTGAGTGAGTGAGTGAGTGAGTGAGTGAGTGAGTGTGTGTGTGTGTGTGTGTGTGTGTGTGTGTGTGTGTGTGTGTGTGTGTGTGTGTGTGTGTGTGTGTGTGTGTGTGTGTGTGTGTGTGTGTGTGTGTGTGTGCGTGCGTGCGTGCGTGCGTGCGTGCGTTCGTGCGTGCGTGCGTGCGTGCGTGCGTGCGTGCGTGCGTGCGTGTGCGCGCGCATATGTGTGCAGGGGCTCACAAAAAGGAAATGAAAGAGGGTTTAACACAGTGGGACTGGGAAGCTGTCTATTGGCTGTTATGGATAATAAATGATAACTGCACACTTCCAGTACCTTGCTCCACAGTGAGACGGTGAGCAGTAGGAGAATGAATGTGGGGGATTGAACAGTATAGTGAAGAGTGGGCGGCTTGACTGAAAAGTTGCCATTGGGATTTTAGATCCTGTATTAGCATTAGCATAAAGTGGCTAGTAGCCGTAGCATGGAGGCCTGTAGCCCTGCAGCCATAGTAAGAGAGGGTTGGTGGGTGAGTGGATGGCTCATCTGTGCTATCTAGCCTAGCGGTAACATAGCATAACTGAGGGCTAAGGCTAAAACTCCAGAGACAGTAGAGACTGAACTACTGTGGCTAACAAGCTTCAATAACGCTCATCCTCACACTCCTCCTCACTCTCTCAGTTGAACCTTTTGATTTTGTTTTATTTCTTTATTTTCCCTCCATGGCTCTCAGTGGCTCTCAGTGCCTCTGGTGTACTTATCGTTGACTGAGTCTGCGGGGGAGGGGATCCAGGGAGCGCTCTGTAGGCTAGCTCCCACTCTTAATTGAGTTATGAGGTCATCGATGACATTGACAGCCCCCGTCCTCTCCTCCCACTCACTCTTAAAGTTTAAGTCCAAGCTCAAGTTTCACTGAGATAATGCTTCAAGGGTTTTTTTCCTTTCTCTTGTAATTTCAATTATTTCTCCCCCCCTCTCACACACACACTCCCTGTCTTTTGCTCTTCCTGTCATTGAGAAGTACAAGCCATATACACAAACCTCCACACCAAAAACATTGAAAATTTCCCTAAACTTACCCATGAATATTGGTCAACACATATCAAACCAACACACACTACATAATTCCTTGCAGTCACACATGCATATTGGTCTACACACACATATTTCCAACGAGTGTGTTTCTGACTCCATGGAGACGTTCTCAGTGTAGTCATTTTAAGAACATAAAACACACACACACAGTGATGAATGTGTCATGTTTACACGCCTTATCCAATGTCAACCATTTTACGAGCCATGAGAGAGGCTATAACAGTGTTTGTTTTCTTTAGTGTACACTCTTAGAATTAGTGGTCACTCAAGGAACCCTGGACATCCTCAAGGAACCCTGGACATCAGTCACTGGATTCATACTTGCACCTTTGGTTAGTTGAGGGGTTCTTGAAGGAACCTTTAACGTTTCAATGTAGCAAAAGGTTCCTAGGGGAACCCTGGACTGGAGGCATGGCTTAGTAGGGGTGTGGCTTTCAGCTGGATCTTTTTAAGCCACCTGTGGGGGTAAATGTCATTCCTGATAATCTGTTCTGTTGCATTTTCATCCCATTATATGTTTGAACACTGACAGTTTTGTAGCTTTGGTGAGGCTTACAGTGGTGTATGAGTTCCTCAAGTCTCTTTATTACTATATGTTATCAGCAATGGTAAAATGCTTAGATATTTAATGTACATTTAAATTTGCAGTGTACAAACTTAACATGATGACATTTACTCTAACGGTTGGCCAAAAATATATATGTGAAAGCCAGGCCTCCAATAAGCCAGGCCTTCAATCTTCTGATAGACTGCCACCTCTACAATATAGTATTAAACGTCCTGAACAGTCATTCTAAAAATATTTTTTTCTCTCATCGCTAACTACTAGGAAGTTTGAAAAGACAGGCTGAGTGGGCGGGAACTTATATTCATGAGCTCGCCCTGACTGACAGCTCTTTCAAACGCCTATGTCAAGCAACTTGGATGCAGTGAGAAGTGTTGCAGTACAATCATCTCAAGCAAATTTGGTGAAACACAAAGCAACTCAAACAACATTGAAATTGCATCACAAACCACGTTTCCATCCAACCATTTAATGCGGATGAATAACCCTTGACGGATGAAAAAGGTCACGACCGGGCTGATGGAAACAGAAAATGCCGATACAATTTTATAAATGCTGACAGACAATTTGTTCGTTCGACATGGTGGGATCTTTTTGTGTCAGTAAAATGTATTATATGAGAAATGGCGGTGGAAACACCTAATGTAAACTTGGAGTCACGTGATGATTTGTTGTGTGGTCCTCCCACTACGACTCGGGAAAGCATGCAGTTTATTAGGCTACAGATGAAATAAGTTATGATGAACTTCACAGGGTGGTGAATTTGCAAGGTGATGAGCTTTCCAAAAATATCGAGGGTCTTATTCTGATAGTGCCCCAGCCAATCATTTATTTATTTTACATGTATTCAACCTCTTATTTTTGGCACTAAACAGTCTCCATATATACTTCCATTAATTTTTTCAACTGGTTCCCGGGGACCGTCAGATGATTCTTGTGAGGCCTGTGGGCGTCCAAGAGAAAAACAACTTGTATGTGTTTGTGAGAGTCTCCCCTTTCCACAGAGGGGTCATATTAGTGTGTAGCCCAAACTGTTCGGACGCTACAGACAGAAGTTGGCAGATCAGCTGTACCAGTGCAAAACCCCCCAGATATCTATAGCTTAAACGGACGGATTTGATGGGAATTTGTTTATTATGCTAATTAGATTTCCGCGGGGGCACGGACATCAACTCTAGGTTAACTTCTATTTTTCATTGAATTTAACGGTAAAAGTAATTTTTATGTGCACTACTTTATCACGCATAGCCTTTCATCTGCAAAAAGTGGAAACATCTCTGGTGGGAAAATGCGCATATTGTTTTATGCAGATTTTGAATGGTCTAATGAAAATCTGTCACAAATTGGATGTAAACCTAGCTACAGGTATCAAAGATTTGTTTAACACCTCCCGTTTGGCATGTCTTTTGTGACGCAGTTCACAGCAGCACTGACGGATATGTTGATTTGAAAACTGGGTTGGAGTTTTGAACGACCCTTCACCCCCTTTTGTTCCATGCTGCCTGAAGACCTAGCTAGCCATTAACTAGCTAACACCAGACACAGATGAAAAGGGAAACAAATAAATATCTTTGCCATAGATGAATAGGGTAAACTTGTAATTATATTTACTGACATCCTACAGTCAAATTTTGGCACCAGTAGAGTAGCTATCTAGCTATTTAAACCACACCCCTGTGCAAACACGCCTTCTCCGATGTTGGTTACAAGGCGGTAGTTATTTAAATTAGGTAAGAGAATATCATGTTACCATTGGTGTATTAAAATTAGAGTTCAGGTGATGTCACCTTGTCCCGTTAAAGGGGAATTTCACCCTGGGGGAATCTAGGCTTGTTTTCTAGGTCAGTGATATGTGTTTTACACATAATTGCCCAGGAGGAAGGCAGCTTTGTGGCATTTCACGAAGGCTTTATGTTATACTGATTGCACTATTTTTTTGTGCGTGTAGATATGGTTGTCCTTATTTGATAGATTCATTGGATGTCTTTCAGCGATGTTCCTATCGGCGGATTCATTGCTAAATACACAAGCTGACCTATTTTTTCCAGTCTCTGGAAGACTACAACTCGTGTGGGGCGGTGCTTTGTGCTCTGGCCCCGTCCCTCCCACAAGGCAGGCTAATTTGAAAGGGAAGCGGACACTAACTACACAATCCATTGGAAAAAACTGAAAGAACTGACCAGACTGCAATGGCTTCAAGTGATTCCTCTCATCAACACAAAATTGACAATGGAGCATTTTTTATGTTCTATTAGCTACATGGTGACATTCATCCATACGTTTCAACCGGAAAATAGCAAAGAGGATTTGAAACAAAGAGTTGCATTTAGCTAGAAGCTCAGCCGATGCCAGCACCAAGAGAGCAGGTGGCATACGTTGGCTAGCTATGTAAGTTATCTTTCCTGCAAGCCACCTAGCTAGCTAGCTAACTTTAGTTTGTCTACTGAAACCCATGTTGTGTATTGCTGGCTAACATACTACTGTGTTTTGCTCTACGACCCTCACAAATGTCACGGGACTCGTCTGAAGTCGGTAACACTGATGTGCCAACTTCTGTCTGTAGCGTCTGAACATTTTGAGCTACACACCACTATGGAAAGCGGAGACTCTCATGAACATGATGGAGTTCTCCATTTTTCTCTACGACCACCACAAGTGTCACAGGACTCGTCTAACAGTAACCCATGTAAACGAATGGAAGTATGGAGGTAGTTTTGTGCCAAGGGAGCATAAAATAATGATCAGGCGGTTAACCTAGCCGAGTTCGGGTAGGCACCAGCCGAACTGAAGCATGCAGAAGCCTTTATTCGCCAACTGATTAGTATCATTGGTGTTCGCATGCGTTATTAATTACCCAAAATAGCAACTCTAATAGCAACAGTAAACAGTAGAAGCTTTCACCTCTGATCTTTCGATATACATCAGTGGATTGATCAGGAAACACACTGACATCCTCCCTTTCACCTCTTCAGAAGCTACAGTGGTTCTGCTTATATAAACTTCTCCCCACTGAGCTGTGTGGGTTAAGGCCATGTTTAAAGGTCAATCAATCTATGAAAAGTATTTATAAAGCCCTTTTAATATCAGCAGTTGGCACAAAATGCATATGCAGTTACCCAGCCTATAGACCCCAAAGGTTAAGCAGAATCAGAGGCATATTGTCTAGGCAAAACTGCCCAGCAACCAATTGCTCAAAGGTCAAAGGATAGGTCAAAAGTTAAATGTGAAATGTTGGACATCATTACCTTTGTTGGCGAAGAGCTGGGAGACGTCTGAGCAAGACACGTTGACAATCTGGCCCACATCAGCCTGGTACCAGCACCTGACCTCATCCCACTCCGTACGACACCCTGAGAAACATACACAGAGGCATGCACGCACGCACACATGCACCCACACAGGAAGAATTGATGTTAGCACCTGACTTCATCCCACTCAATACGACACCCTGAGAGACATACACACATGCATGCACGTACGCGTAACACACGCACAGGAGGCAGGAGGAAAGGATGTTAACAAGGTTTGTCACTTCCTGTCAGCAAGCTATCGATGGACAGCGGATTTGTGCCGGGTTTGATGGGTCCACTGTGAACTCTAACAGACTGTAGATCACAGTGGGATTGGAGGAACAGAGAAAGTAATGACAGTGTGTCATCATAATCAACTCCTGGCCGTGAGACAAAAAGTCCCTTTTAATAACAAACACTAATATAACGTGTGCATATGGGTCTTTCTATAAATAATGGGGCCAATGTGTGACATTGGGATAAACATTTCTAAATGGTTTGAAACAAAAATATTTTTTATGCAGTTCCACCTGTGTACTTAGAGGAATAAAAGTGAATATATGCAAATTAGCCCATAGCTCCACCTATACAACAACATAGGCCTTGGACTATTCATCCTTTAAGCAGGGTTCATACAGACATTGGCATGTGAAATTCAAGGATGTACAGGGACTTTTTCAAGCACTTAATTGTAATTTTCAAGGACCTCAATGTTATACAAATGTATAATTTATATAACTGTACATAGAGGGCCTAATATAGAGCCCCCCTCCCCAGAAAGCATGCACAAAGTGCAGAAGAAAAAAAAGTAGGCCATTACCACTTTAAGAATAATGTATTTTTTTAGGCCTTGATATTAAAATTATTATTACATCTGTGAGAATAATGTGGACATTGCCTGACTAAATAGATTGGATGAATGCATGGTGATTTTTCTGTAATCTACAGTATGTGGCCGGACATAATTAAGCCATGAATAGCAGACCATCGCTGTTTTTATCATGAGAAAGTGACCAAAAACCAGGTTCCTTTTTTAATGGATGGATTTGTATGGAAAGCCAAGTTGAAGCCAACATTAGTTGGTTTTACTGCAACAGAGTGGGAAACAAATGAAAGTGGCCACATCTCTCACAAAAACGGATAAAAAATGAAATCACAGATAATTAAAAGGGAGCTGGAGAACTTATGAATTGGTGAATTTTATTGAATATAGCTATGATCCCCACTTATATCTTAATGTAATGACATGAACAAATTGACAGATTATTATCAATGACTTATCAACAGCTGTAACAAGTTGTCCAGTGTAGGAAATCCTCACTGGTACCCTAGTTTATAGAAAGACCCATATGCATGTGACAGAAGAGAGGGAGAGAGACAGAGAGAGAGAGCGAGAGATGTGCATCAAATCAAATCAAATGTTATTGGTCACATGCGCCGAAAAGTTAATGGGTAATGTCAGCACATTGGGGTTACAGTGCACCTGATCTGGTTTGTGAGAGTGGTGGCATTAGATTGGGGAGAGAGCTGAGTGTATAGGATCTTCATTTGAGCCAGTTTGCTACAGCAGGAAAATAATCTTCCAGCAACAGCAAATGTGAATAAGTATGTGAATTATAATTAATGGGTTGATACATTTTTCGTGAGAGAAATCAAGTCAAATTTCTAAGTGGAAATTAAAAACATAAGCCTTTTTATACCTCAAATACACTACAAGTTAAAAATGTCCTGCATTGCAGGAAAGTGCTCCTGCAACAGGGTGATCCAATTAAGATCTTACATCTGTATGTTCTTCTTTTCTTCCTTTCTGCAGGTTTCAATGTTTCCTTCTCTCACTCCTCTCTGGCTTGCACTCCTCCCCTCAGGCTTTACTTTCAGATGTTTAGTGTTTACATTTGTTTTCCATTTCTCCATTTGTCATACACAGATAGCTCTCGGTTTGGTTGTAACGCTGTTTACAATATTGTTCACTCAAAATGTTCAAAATTCAGTCTGGATATATGATACTGTATCTCTACACATATGGCATTCCAGAAATGACATTTTGTGATACAAAATGCCGATTTGTTGTGGATATCTTTCCAATAGGGAAGAAAGAAAGAAAGAAAGAAAGAAAGAAAGAAAGAAAGAAAGAAAGAAAGAAAGAAAGAAAGAAAGAAAGAAAGAAAGAAAGAAAGAAAGAAAGAAAGAAAGAAAGAAAGAAAGAAAGAAAGAAAGAGGGGGCTAGAGACTGTCAATCTCCCTCGGCCTGGGGCTCCATGCAAGATCTCACCTCGTGGAGTTGCAATGATCATGAGAACGGTGAGGAATCAGCCCAGAACTACACGGGAGGATCTTGTCAATGATCTCAAGTCAGCTGGGACCATAGTCACCAAGAAAACAATTGGTAACACACTACGCCGTGAAGGACTGAAATCCTGCAGCGCCCGCAAGGTCCCCTTGCTCAAGAAAGCACATATACAGGCCCGTCTGAAGTTTGCCAATGAACATCTGAATGATTCAGAGGAGAACTGGGTGAAAGTGTTGTGGTCAGATGAGACCAAAATCGAGCTCTTTGCCATCAACTCAACTCGCCATGTTTGGAGGAGGAGGAATGCTGCCTATGACCCCAAGAACACCATCCCCACCGTCAAACATGGAGGTGGAAACATTATGCTTTGGGGGTGTTTTTCTGCTAAGGGGACAGGACAACTTCACAGCATCAAAGGGACGATGGACGGGGCCATGTACCGTCAAATCTTGGGTGAGAACCTCCTTCCCTCAGCCAGGGTATTGAAAATGGGTCATGGATGGGTATTCCAGCATGACAATGATCCAAAACACACGGCCAAGGCAACAAAGGAGTGGCTCAAGAAGAAGCACATTAAGGTCCTGGAGTGGCCTAGCCAGTCTCCAGACCTTAATCGCAAAGAAAATCTGTGGAGGGAGCTGAAGTTTCGAGTTGCCAAACGTCAGCCTAAAAACCTTTATGACTTTGAGAAGATCTGCAAAGAGGAGTGGGACAAAATCCCTCCTGAGATGTGTGCAAACCTGGTGGCCAACTACAAGAAACGTCTGACCTCTGTGATTGCCAACCAGGGTTTTGCCACCAAGTACTAAGTCATGTTTTACAGAGGGGTCAAATACTTATTTCCCTCATTAAAATGCAGATACATTTATAACATTTTTGACATGCATTTTTCTGGATTTTGTTGTTGTTATTCTGTCTCTCACTGTTCCAATAAACCTACCATTAAAATTATAGACTGATCATGTCTTTGTCAGTGGGCAAACGTACAAAATCAGCAGGGGATCAAATACTTTTTCCCTCACTGTAGACGGCACAAGGTACGTAAAGAGAACTGCCCCCATGGAGGCACTCACACTGAACACATGTACGAACTGTTGGTGAGTGCTCTGAGGCCAAGTGTGTCTGGGACCTGTTTGTTTCCTCTGTCCTCCAGCGTCCAGCCTTGCCGCCGCATCACTCCTCCTCCAGCACCAACCCAGGCCAATTGACATAGCCTCCACCACCTCCCTTCTCCATCTCTCTCTCCCTTCCTCCCTCTAAACCTATCCCTTTCACCTTTCCAGAACCAGGAACCATTCATCATCACAACAGCAGAGGTGCAGATCCCTCTGCAGATCCAACACCAGTCACAGCACCAGAACACCAGAAGAGGCGTGGAGGAGGGAGCAAACCCCAAAGCTTCACTCTGAGTCAGCAGACCACAGGGGAGTGCCACCACTGACCCCCAGGTCTAGGACTCCCTGGCATGCCTGCTTGCTCCTCAGGTTGTACTTCCTTCCTTATGCAGATCCAGCACCAGTCCCATCACCAATCCAGATCCGGTTTCCAGCACCAGACCAAAGACGAGGCGCGGAGGAGGGACCAGATCTTCACCTGGGAGCGAGCAGGCCACAGGGGGAGTACTACTGTTGACCTGTGTATCTGGGGCTCCCTTGTGTGTTGGCTTGCTCCTCTTGTTGTCCTTCCTCCCCACTACAGACCCAGATCCCGACCCAGCACCTGCAGCAGCCCCAGTTCCCGGTTCCTGTTTCCCAGTCCCCAGTCCCAGTCCCAGCACCAGCACCAACCCCTGGACTCCAGTCCCAGCACAACTTCCAGTTCCATCCCCAACACCATTACCAACCCAGATTTTCACGGTCCCAGGGACAACACCAGCACCAACCCTGGACACAGCACCGATCAAACACAACTGCCACCTCCATCCAGGAACTGCCAGCCCAGACCACGCCCCTTCCCCAACAGAAAGACACAAATACACTGTAATTCCAACTGTTACATATTTATTCACTTGCAACTTGCTGCTGTAGAGCATGCTGGGAAATATGATAAGGATGGGAGTGGTTTTGGTTGAAAGTGATGTATATGAGTTTCAGGACCCTGTATTAGGGTAAAACTAGGCCCTGAAAATAAGGCCTTATGAAATACGTATGGTATTGTGTTACCCATGGGCGGCGCACAATTGGTCCAGCGTCGTCCAAGGTAGGGGAGGGTTTGGCCGGCAGGGATGTGGGTTCGTTTCCCACGGGGGGCCAGTATGAAAAAACAAACAAAAAACAAAACAAACAAAAAAACATGTATGCATTCACTAACTGTAAGTCGCTCTGGATAAGAGCGTCTGCTAAATGACAAAAATATAAAATTTAATGTAAATGTGTTAAAAAAAAATGACCCAACGCCTGTAAACCAGCAGTTGGGTCAACCAAACAACCTAGCATTTTTTTGTGTACATGAAGGGTGTGAAAAATATACGCTATGTGAAATATTTGTTATCACATAACATCAAGTTTTTGTCTATAATGTCCATCTTTTCCGCTTCCCCCCTCTTAAACAGGGGTACATTCAGTGCAGCTCCAAAAATACTAGCTATTGAGAGAAAAGTATATTTCTCTCATTTGGGTTGCTTAACCCTGAGCTGAGGGAACATAGGGCTGAGGGAACATAGGGCTGTGGGAACTGATGGAACATGTGGCTGAGGGAACATAGACATGGTCTCCAGTGGCGGCTCCTGAAAAAATTCTCAGGAGGGGCAATTTTTCTGATGATTTAGG